TACTAAATTAATAAATGTGATTATACCCTTCTTGGATGATGAATAGCAACAGACAACACGACCTCCACCTTTTCAACAGGAATTCTTTTTGTTTTTGAATCGGCTATTTTTGTTTCCTTTTGAAAATCAAAAAAGCGGTAGATAAAAATAAAGTGGCTTAAAAACTATTTGATAGGTAAGCACCTAATCCTCAGCAGTTATGCTAGTTGAATTTTTGCACATAATGTCTCAATCAACTGTGTCCAACGTTTGTTCCACGAGCATAGTTGCCCATCTTTTGTTAATTATAAAGCTCAAGGGACAGAATGAGGATGAGAAAGCTTAGAATAAATTGATACCATTATAATGAAAGAAATATTAGAGTGAAGTCAATGAACCCGTGAAATACATATTTGACTATTACATGTTATTACTCGATAATTCCATTGTTTTCTTTTGTGTCTATTTGACTATTACAGTTTAATTATTAACTTTTATTTCACAGGATCAATGCCTTCACTCTACAACTTGTACCTTTATTTCATAATTAATTTCTCTCTTAAAATGTGTTAACTTGCCCTTCCTTTCCTTCAAAAGTCTAGAAAAAACAACATCAACAACAACAGCAAAATTTAAAACCTGTGAACAATTTGATTAGAAATTTACAATATTTAAAATTATGAATTTTTCACTGTGAGAGTGAGGTTTTATCAATTTTTACCTTAAAGATGAAAGACTGACACTCTCTGGTAGGTCATTGCCATAAATGTCAACATCGTCTAGATCATCTGGCTGTAGTTCACTCTTGAAACAAAATTCAATAACTCAAATAAGCCTTTTTCCAGTTCAATGCGAGCAACCGCTGTTTTAGTAGACAACAGACTCACTCGCATAGAGAGCAAAAGAAGCACAGAAAAATGTTGACATTACAATAGCTCTAGAAATTTGAATCTTCTCTGATTTGAGGCTTAGCTTGAGTGAGAGTTTGAACCTTCTGGGAATACAGAATCGGAGAAAATGCAAATTAATAGGGCTATTGTAATGAAAACAGTTTTTTCGTGCTTTCTCTTGTTTTTGACAAGGTCTCTGTGCATGACAGACTGTTGTCAACTAAAGCAGCGGTTGCTCACTTTGAACGGGAAAAAAGCGTGTTAAAGTGCACATGACACCATTAGAAATTCATTCTCATCCAAAAGAGAAAATGCTGCTAAGTTCATCTGTGAAGAAAGAAATTGATTTTAAATTGTATTTTCTAAGTTATAGGCAATTGAAACTTGGAAAATGCAAATTAAGTGACGTCTACTAAGGAATGATTTAATATCCAAAATCATGAAAGAGAACGTTATTCTTTTTGTTACATTGGAAAACGCATTTTCAGCTCTCAATTATTATTATGATTGAYGATTTGAGCTCTTCAACCAAGAATAGCATAGTGCAAACAATGTAAAAAGTCTGGATCAATTCCTTAGTTGACGTCACTTCATTTGCATTTTCAATTTTCAAATGTCTATAACTCAGAAAATACAATTCAAAATCWATTTCTTTCTTCACAGAAGTACTTGGCAGCGTGTTACCTTTCGGATAAAAGTGTTTTTCTAAAAGGTGTCATGTGCACTTTAATGACACTATGGATGGACAAGACGACGGGGCTGGGGCCCAGCTGTTTCCCCACTCCTTTCGTAATTGCTGGGAAAAAAGGGTTTATTGAAGGGGCAGAGATCAAGTGGAAGCAACTCTCTGTCTCACATTTTTGACAGCTGTTGTACTTAAATGCATGTAACTTAAATTTGTGTATAACTTGATAAATTGTACTTTTACCTTAAGATTTGATGGGCTTTGTTAGTCAAACATAAAGAGTAAATATAATAATACATGTGAGTAAAATATTCAGCTGCAATCATAAAACTGAACATGAAACATGATGCTATAAAAAAATGAAGATAATTTGTGGAAGCGAATATCAAAACTCTGCTTACCTACAAACTTCGTCCAATTCTCCAATTGTTTCCATAGAAATTCCCATTTCCTCAGATAATTCGCTGTATGAAGCTTCGTATCT